GCAAAACATTCCCCCGCATGGGTATGGGGCGGGTATGGGTTTGGTATTTGAAGATGGGGATGGTTTAGACAAACCCGCCCCAAACCCGCCCCATTGCCATCCTAGTGGTAGGATAGATGAATGGAATTTCCGACACAAGCATACCTTGGATGTAATAAATAGTTGAACCCTTTAGCTTAGAAAAATATATTTAAGCTTTACATCAATAGCTAATAATTGTTGGCTATTAGTTACGTGTCAATATAAACCTATAATTAAGCCACAACAATTCGACAACCCTGCAAATAGAGGAGTAGGCATCAACACTGAGTGAATCAGAGGGGCTAACATTCTTCCAAGTAAATGCGGTGATCTTTATATAAATACGACCACTACAAATATGCAACAGTTGAGATTAGGGATAACATTTACGGTGATTCTTATACATACAGAAATGCAAGCAACATGTTCTAATGCTCTGTAAGAGTATGGAACTTGGAAGCTAGCATAAAGAATGGTTCATAGTTGCACCGAGATATTATCAGGGTTATATATAGGAATAGAGAAGTGGTTTATGATTTATTATCGAAGCTCATCCAACAATTCAACATTATTGATAACAAAAATAAACAAAGCAGCAAGAAGAAAAAATTATCACCCGAGGGTTGCTTACAAGCTACAAGGAGCTCACTTAGCGATGCTCCGATGAGTTGGAACAATTGCACTCCAATAGGGGGGGGGGGGGGAAGGTCATTATAGCATTGTTTAAAAACTCAATAGGTGGCCGAAGGTCAAAATATTCCTATTGGACATCGAGCTGAGAAAGAAAGAGGCGACAGTGCAATGCCCTTTCTGCAATCTGGAGGAAACCCAAAATCATATATTGAGGGAATGTCAGTGGGAAATTCACATTTGGAGATCGTCCATGTTCAGACCACTATTAGAGCTAGAACCTAGCTAACCTATCATCTAGCAGTTGGCTATGTGTAGTAATGGATCGAACGGAGGATGAAATGCTAGAGAAACTAAGCATCATTTTGTGGTCGATCGGGAATGAACGAAATAATCAGATGTTCAATAAGAAAAAAAGCGGAGGAATGGGAAATCATTCGTCGTGGCCTAGACTATTGGGAAGAGTTTAAATCGCACCATACTTTGGAGAAGGAGGAAAGATCGGAGTGGAAGAATACCTGGGAAAAACCTCACGTATCGATAATGAACCGGCCCATACCATGGCCCATTTGGCATGTATCTGGGACCAACCAGAATTCTGGACCATAAGACCTCCTATTGCTATCCTTTCTTCTTTGGTGAAGGATGACATGATTTATGAATAAAATTATAGGTTTCTATAAAAAAAAACTCAATAGATTTTTGCTTTACATTGTCGAAGGGCCAAATAGAAGTTACATTTTTTTTTGTTAATGGTGATATATATTAATTGAAAACAAAGAATAATACAAGGACAAGACCACAGAAACCAAAAAACGGCTCCATGGTCAGAAACAAAACAAAAACCGACAGGGGCAAAGGGGAAAAAAGAAGAATCCACCCACCCCTGCTCAACGCCAAACCAGCAGAGAACACTAGCTCGCAAAAAAGAAAACTGGAAAAAACCCCCCGCCAACCCACCTAACAAAGCAGGACAGTTCGTATCAAACAGAAGCAGATAGCAAACAGGGGGGGGGGGGGGGGGCGTGCTCGGCACGCTTACAGAGCAAACACAAAAGCCAACCTGAAGGATCAGGAAGCCAAAAAACCGAAAAACCAAAAACCAGAGGCCTATGATTCTTCCTCACGAGGCTGTGAATGAGAATTCGAAGTCTGCTGCTGCGGATTATGTGGGAACAACCTGTTCTTCATTTCTTTGATCCATGCTTCTGCAATCTCTTTGTCAACCTTCCTTGCTGTCATCAACCACCAAAAAATAGTCTATCCAATCTTCATTACAAGTGCAGGAACGTGGCTTTCTTGGTCATTGAATATCCTATTGTTTCTTTCCAGCCAAACACACCAGCAGAAAGCATGTAGGACTACTCTTGAACACCACTGAGCTGGATTTACTGGATTCGAACGCGACCAAATAGAAGTTACATTAACCAGGTTGTAACAAAGGAGAATATGCAAATGGATCTTATGGCATCAATGTTTCAACCACAAATTAAGGTTGCCACTAACACCATTGAAAATACAATATTGTGAAAAGAAAAAGAGAATTCACAACTATTTACTACAAACAAACGGGCTAAAAGGACACTAAAGCGGACCATAAATGGAATAACCAAACCCGGCCAACCGGTCGGGCAAAGTGCTAGTTAGTAAATAGTAACAATGAAAATCATAACAAGGGATGACACACCTAGATCGACGATAAACACCACACACTTGGTTAAATGACTTTGGAAGATGAGTAAAGTGTAGAAAAAAGGAGAAGTTTGAGGAGAAGAAATTGATCACACTCTGGTATCATGAGAAGTTTGGGATTTGTAGGGAATTGAGGGACTGGGGTAGAATTAGGGATTTGGTAGGGGAAGAGAAGGATTGTTCAGAAGAAGAAGAAAGAAAGAACTCGACCCCCCAAAAGAGCAGGGGGCCGATGGCACCGGGGATAGAGAATTAGGTATAGTGAATAATTGATATGTTATTGTTAAATGAGAATAATCCTAATAGTATATAATTCCGACAAATTTTTTTTTTAAGGGTGAAATTCATTAATTAAATAAAGTTTAAGAGAGTTTAAAGGGAAGGCAGAGACAAAAAAACACAGGTAGAGGAAAAGGGGGATCGGCAGCTCGGGAACCACAGCCCAGCCGAACACAAAACTCAGAAACAAGAATAAAAAAGATCAAATAAGCACTCCAAATAAATGACCCTTCTTCGTCTCAATGGCCAAGTCAGTTGTGGCGTAGGTCTATGGAGCAGAGCCCCCTTAAGATTATGAATCCATTCTTCTCCAACCTGCCTTTCAATTTTGCCCGCAGCTAGGAGCCAAACTGCAATGAGGGTTCCGATCTTAAAAGCAACAGCAGCCTGGGAAGAACACTTTCCTTCAAAAATCCGATTATTCCGTTCCTTCCATATGCACCACAGCAGCGCATGTAATACTGTTCTAGTGCACCATTCTTTTGGACTCCGCGGATTCAGAGGCGCCCATCTCTTGATGACATCTCCAATCTCCCTGTAAGTTGCACTACCTTCGATATGGACAAAGCGACTAATGATTCTCCATACAACCATTGTGAAACTGCAAGTGACGAAAAAGTGAGTTGGGTCTTATTCACGAGCACTGCACAACGGACACCTGTTGGCCAAATTCCACCCTCTCCGTTTTAACGCGTCCTGTGTAAGTATCTTCCCATGGAAAGTCAGCCAAACAAACAAGCAAACTTTGGATGGGACATGACTCAACCAAACTGACTTAAATTCCGACAAATTTCTTATAACTAACTGAACTAATGCATCGTATCTCAAATACTCAAATATCTAAAAACTACAATAAATATTCAAAATCCATAAAACATCATTAAAACGACAAATGAATCCAAATGGCAAAGGCTAGAAACTGGGTTTCTAACACATGCACTCACTGAGTTCAACTTCGGTAATGTTGTAATTCCAGTGTATCTACAACAACAAAATAATACTAAACATTAAGAGACGGGGACTGAGCAACAACTCAAGTGTTGAATCAAAATATCTAATAGAATAACATCAACAGATCAATTGTATATATTGTTCCATAGAGAAGGAATACTAATTGATCGATGAAGCTGCAGCAGCTGAATTAAGTCAAACAAGGGCTCCCGCACGAATTCTTTGACTAAACCTGCATTTATTTAAAAACTCACTCTGATAACATCGACTGTGTACTGTTTCATTGACGAGACAGCTTAACATATTAACAAACAAGGGTGAAGCACAGAGCGTTTAAAACTTTAAATACGTTGGGTAGTTTCTTGGTTCCCTTCTGTGCACACTTTCTACTATTATTTTGCTGGCAATATTCTCCAGAAACAGATCAGCAAATAAACGAAATCAAGACTATATTGATGTGCAATTAAGAAGGTCCTAAGCTGGTGGCGGATGTGTTTTATATATATTGCTCTATTTTTTCCCGCACGTTGGTAGCATTCGTTATTAGTAATATAAATAAATGTACGAGGTGCAGGACCTTAAAGTATACATGGGATTCACGAAATTGAATACATATGGGTGTAGAGATCCTTAGATCCCACGAGTATATATGGGCTATATAATGAGTTCCTGAATCAATTGTGGAATCCAGTTTTCCGAACTCTTTTTGGGTTAATGGTTTGTTTAACATAGTATTTACATCAAATTCTGTCCGACAAATTGATGTTATGAGATCATCATCAAGGCTAGTATAGCCCATAAACACAGGCTATACAAGTTCGATATATCATATGGCTTGAGGGTTCAGGTTAGCCTAGCGAATACGGGTTTGGTCTAGTGATATTATCATCAGTCTTTCGTTTGGAGATCGCAGGTTCGAATTTCTTTAGTATTATCTAATATTAACAAAAAACTTAGGTAACCACTATAAAAAAAGGGTTCAAGCTAGCTAGCTACTTTTATCCCCAAGGTACAACTCCTCCAAACCCTGAATAGGAAAAAAAAAAAACTACATCACGAAGGAAGAAAGTTAAGACCATTGTGGATCAGGATGAGGACCACAGTCCCTCCCTAGAGAAACTTCGCAGCCCAGTGACCAAATATTGCCAGAATTTAGCGACCAAGGACCAACTTTGTAACCTCTCGAGAAAACTTCAGTTCTAAATTTTCAATTGTGATGAACTTGTTTTTAGAGATTACGGGTGGAAGAAAAGCTGTTATACCTATTCTGAAGACCATTGTGGAGATGCGTCATTTGGTGCAAGCCATACAGAAGCTTCTATCTCAACATGAAGAATCCTTTGAGAAAATCAGGGTGGAGAACATACCTTCCACGTGCAACTGATAATACTATACAAGATTCCCGATCTAGGGCACTTCATTATCTCATGCATTCTCAGCGATCTTTACATAACAGATGCCCTCGTAGACATCGAGGTTAAGCTAAATGCAATTCCTCACTGTGCCTATAAAGCACTCATGCTAACAAGTTTAGAGGAGACGACCATGGAAATAAAGCTAGCAATCAACATGGTTTTTCGTCCCAGAGGTATGGTCAAGGATATCAGAGTCGCAGGAACTTGTCTTCTGGGCGCGAAATCGAATGATAGCTCGGTATGGGATGGAATCGTGGAAAGATATCAAAACAGACTAAGCGGTAGGGGAAGCAGGAACTTGTCTTCTGGGGCGAAGCTATTTTTAATCAATGCGGTCCTCTCTGGTTCTCCAACTTATTTATTTTCATTATTCAAGGCTCCAAAGTCAGTTGTTAAGGATTTAGAAAGGTACCAAAGAAGATTTCTTTGGAACGGTAAGTCGGAGGGTAATAAGATGGCTTTGATGGATTGGAAGTTGTGTAAAATGCCTGTCAAGAAGGGAGGTCTTGGCATACATGATTTGAAGCTTTCCAATGACGTTATCCTTTCGAAATGGCTGTGGAGATTTGCGGTAGAGAGAGGAAGTTGGTGGCAGGGCTTGATTAACTACAAATATCCGAATGAAGTTTCTTGCTGGCAGACCAAGAGGGAAAGAAGTGGGTTTTCCAAGTCTGTTTGGGCTAACATCAGTAAAGGATATGATCAGTTCTGGAATTTTGCTGCAATTGATCTGGGGAATGGTACTCAAGTCTCCTTCTTGTATGATTGTTGGATCCCTAGGATCGTGCTGGCTGCTTCGTTTCCTCGCGTTGCTGCTGCTGTCCTTGACCCTGAAGCTCTTCTATCTGACACTGCAAATATCCATGGTGATTTGGTGAGTTGGAATCTTGATTTCAAATATATTTTGAGGGGTGGGGCAGCAAGGGAGAGGGATGATTTTATGAACCTTTTAAACTCTGTGAATTTGGCGTATTCTTCTCATAGTCCGTGCAGGATCATTTGGAAACAAGAGGCAAACTCGAATTTCTCGGTGATATCATTATATAGGGAGTTGGAAGACATTCACTTAAGAGGTATTGAGGATTTTCCAGTGGAGAAAGTTTGGATCTCGTGGATCCCGAGTAAAATTTGTTTTTTCATATGGCTGGTTTACCACAATAGAGTGTTAACATTAGACAATTTGAAGAAGAGAGGCTTTTATTTGGCGAATAAATGTGTTCTCTGTATGAAGGATGAGGAAACTGCTCATCATATGCTTGTGGAATGCAAATACGTAAGGAACATATGGAGTATGATGTACTGCAGGAGGAGCAGGGTACCGAGATGGAATGGTGAGATCGATCAAGTAATAGCAAACTGGCCGACTGCATATGGAGATTGGATTGAGAAGTGGTTCGATGGATGTATTCTACATTCCATTTGGTGGGCTGTGTGGCTCGAGAGGAACCAGAGGACGTTCGAGGACAAAGCAACATCTATGATGGTGGTGGGAAAAAAGGCGGCGAGGCATTAGAATGGATTGTGGCAAATGGAAAAGTGCAGAAAGCATAAGGAAGGAGATGGTTGTCAGAGAAGGGTTTAGTGTATTAATGGATCAGGGAGGAGGCTGTGTAGAATGGCTTCTAGTGTCTTTTTATTGCTTATTTAGAGGATCGCGCGGTTCATCTGGGCTGAGGGAAGTTGCTTGATTCCTTTTGTTGGGGTTTCCTGGTGGGGGGAGGTTGTGTGCTGCAGTGTCCCGTGGTGGATCGCGCAAGGGTGTAGTCAGTTTGGTTCCAGTGGCTGCGTGGGTACTCTGCTGTTGTTGTTGTTGGGTGCGGGGTTTGTTGTTGGCCGACCAGGGGGAGATTCTTTTGTTTTCGTGGGTAGAGGAATGTTGCGGGGAGCGGTTAAGGCTGGGTGGGGGTGTATTGATTGTTCGTTTGGGGGGGTCTGCTTACTGCAGGGGGTTTCAAGTCTCTTTTCGGTTGACAATGTCTTTGTCACTGCTGTTCTGTTTTTCTGTTCTCTTTCCTTTCTTTTTCCTTTTGAATTTGGGGTTTTTCCCCTATTATGTTCAAGATCATTTCTCTTGATCCTGTTTCTTTGTGTACAGCTTCTTACCTTAGTCTAATAAAATTTCACCATTATAAAAAAAGGATATCAGAGTCTCGATCGAACCCTTTGTCTCCCTTCTCGATTTGTAGTACTTGACATGGATATGAATGAGGATTACTCTATCCTATTTGAGAAGACGCCAATAAGAATCTTCCAATCAACATAACATGATATATGCAACATGTATGTTGACAATCTCAAGTGTTTTCCTAGCACGGAACCCATGACCATGATGTCGTAGGGGGATGGCAAGACACATGATCATAGTGAATGTAGACATCTGCTATGAATTTACTCAACCACGTATGTGTATAACTAGGCCTGTTAGTCGGTGCGGTTTCGGTTTAACCGAACCGCAAAGTCGGTTAGCCGACACCGAGAAGTAGACAAAATAAAAAACCGCAACCGCCACCAATCGCAATGTCGGTTAGGCGATAACCGCAACCGACAGTTTCGGTGTGAATAGGCGGTTAGCCGACAACGACTGGAGATGGAGAGGTCGTCGATAAAATTTTCAGGAAGGGGCCCGACAGGCCGCAGCGGCGTCCGACGACAACAGATTTAGGTAAACGATGACTCTGCGAGGTGGCGACCAGACAAAGGCAGTGAGGATGTTGACGGTGTTGATTCGGGCGCTTTGACCGACGCACGGCAGAGTGAGGATGTGGATGGCGGCGGAGTGAGGATGTGAACGACGTCTCTCCTCAAGCCTCCTCTCGTCCATGCATGTCACTTAAAGTCCAGGAGGAAGAAGGGTATGGCAGATTATGATGTGAAGGAGGAAGACGAGATCTAGATTCGAGATTGCGATTAGCGATGGAGAGTTAGATGGGCGGCGCCGGCGAGGATTGAGGACGACGGTCGGCCTTGACTAGAGATACGACTTTGCTGGGAAGTGTGATTGACCGTCGGCAAGATCAAGATTGGGAATGACGGTAGTGAGGACGGCGGGTCGGCGAGATCGAGATTGCAAAGCAACAGCGGGCGGTGAAGCCGCGTAGCTAGATTGGGAGGGGACGATGGGTGGCGAAGTCAAGATTGGAGAGGTATGAGAGGAAATTGGGAGCTAGAGACTTGGGAAGTTGGGTTCTGGGCGGATGGGAAATTGGGGATGAGGAAGGAAGTCTTCGCACTCTGGGAACTGGAATTTGGGAAGGAAATAAAGGGGCTGGGCAGTTATATTGGTGGACCGATTTTCTTGTCGGTTAACAACCGATAACCGCCGGTTACCTAATAACCCAAAATACACCAACCGCAACCGACACCGAATCTTTTTTATCGGTTTTCGGTTAGCCGACTAACCGCAAATTTCTGTTCGATTTTTTGATTGACCGAGTAACCGGCCACGGACTATCACCCCTATATATAACTAGTATCATTGTGAAGCGAGTCTAACGGAATTCTAATAGGAGTTTGTCTATGCAATGCTTTTCCTTTTGATTTCCATGTTTAATAGTGTAGTTTTGCTTTTACTTTAGATTTTCGAACCAAACAATGGTAACTTCAACCATCGAGGCGCTTCAACCTCCACATTCAATTTACAAATCATAAGAGTAGGTTCCTTACCTACCGAGTAAAGAGACGTGATAGGTTTGGAGAAAATACGATCTCGGTCATCGATTAGGCAAATTCGACCACTGTTGTACAACATATAAGGTTTTAAAAAAGTACTCTTATGTTATTGTGTAATGAACCCATACCATAACTATATAATATATAACCCAATAAATTTTATTAAACTACCCATAATTAACCCATTACAAAAATCCCCAATAACACCCTAAGTCCCTTACAAAATACCTAAATATCCCGATCATTAAAAAAATACCAAAAAATATAAATAATCACCCGAATGGTAAATTATGCAAAAATCCATGTTTATAACAATTTTTCCCCATCCAGACCATCATTTCTCTCAAGATTTCCTGCTCCATCATAGTTCTCATTTCCTATCTTTGCAGCCATCTCCCTCGCCTTGAACTCCAAATTGCTCAGTAACAACCTCAAATGAGCATTAATACATGGGTGACACTCTGTGTAGCTCTCGTTTCAATTGAAGTAACGACTAACTATCGGCCTCCGCTCAATCTATACCGGCTAAAGTCACACAAAACCTCTAGGAGGCAGGAAACAAATTACCTGATACGTTTTCTGAGATGGCTAAACCCAGAGTTTGAAGTAATCAAGACCCAACTCCTGATGCAAAAGCCACTGTCTACTTGATAGACCGTTAGTTACACATGTTTTCACCCTTGTTCTTACACCGTTTGAGAGGTGGTTTCTCGTGTTTTAGACCGATTTCACGCTAGGTTGTGCTTGTTTGTGATATTTCAGGTCCTGGCAAGTGAATGAAGGTTTAGGAGCGAGTTCGGGGTCGATTGGGTGAAGATCGGGCGCGAGACAAGTCACAAAGGAGGTCACACGGGCTGCCCTTATGTTCACACAGCCGTGTGAAGTAATGGCCTGGCCGTGCGTGTTTTGCCGAGAGCACACACGGGCAGATCAGAGGATCGACACGGCCGTGCAAGTGGCCGGGTTGGCCGTGCCACATTCTGCGAGAGCAAACACGGGCAAGAGGGGATGTCACACGGCCGTGCCATTCTGGCCGTGCAAAGAGCCTGGAATTCAACTAAGTGATACGCTGCGTTTTGACTCACACGGGCAACTGGGTGAGCTGCACGGCCGTGCCACCCTGGCCGTGTGAGTCGGGGTTTTCTCCTTTTAAGCAGATTTTCAGCCACAATTCGGGGGGATTCGGGTTTTTGAGAAAGAGAGTGATTCCTAGAGAGAGAAAGTGACGAGCAAGAGTTCCCAAGTGCCCTAGATTGATCTTCAACACCATTGGAGGCCAGCTTGAGCTTGGAGAAGTGCCGATCAACGTCCAGAAGCAGGAATCCATCCTTCGCAGTATGAATTCCGTGTCTGATTCTGCTTTTGCTTTCTTCTCCATGGAGTAGTTCTCCCATTCATCTGGGTATGGAGAACCCTAGATTTGTATGTTAGGCTTTGATTGTATGAACCCAAGTACTGATTCTATGATTGATTATATTCGATTGAGGTTTTAATGATTGAATGACTTGAATCCTGATCAAATTCCTGTTGTTTCTGCTTTGACCTAGAATGAGAATATCTGCCTAGGTTAATAGAGTATCCTTGATTGAAGGTAGGGAGTTGGTGACTTTAGTCGAGGAGCCAACTCACTATTCTGTACCGGATTTACTCCGGTAGTGGAGGTTTTGTTTGTTAAAGCCTCAATCTGTCTACTCCGGTGGAGGTTAGTCGCCCGCTAGAGATTCAGATTGAGAGAGTCTGAAGACCTTTAGTCGAGACTTCAGACTGTTTAAGAACCTTCCGCAGTATAACTATCATAGAAACTGAACTTGGTAATTACAATCCGGCTTAACTGCAGTCTAGGGGGAACCATATCCGGGTGACCTCTCTTAACTTGAATACAACCGTTTACCTGCTTTGTTAGTTTGTTAGTTAGACTTGCATTCCAGTTTCATTGCTAGATAACAAGAATTCACTGAGTAGTCATCAAATTTAGGACCCGAGTTGATAATTAAACCCAAACCCGCTATACTACGCTTTAGGAAGTGGTTTCACTTGGCCAATTCCTGGATTGACAGTAGAGTCGAGTCAAGTTTTTGGCGCCGTTGCCGGGGACGGCTAGGTTGTTGAAGAAAAGTGATTTCTGTTAATTTAGCCTTTCTTTTTTGCCTTGTTTGCTTTGTCCCACTTGTGCCTTCACGGGTTTGCTTGCTTGAGTGTGTGCAGGTAGTGCATGACCCGTAGCCAGTCGGGAGGTTTACTGCCGTTGAATCCAGAGATTGACCGCACCTGTCGCCAGCTCTGAAGAAGAGCACGGAATGGACGGAGATTACAATCAGCACCAGGGGAATCCTCAGCAGGTTCCCCCGGTGAATCAGGTCCTGGGGAACAACCCCATACCCCAGGATCATGGAGCTCATCATCCACCGCAGCCGGGTCCCACCTTGGAGTACTACTACACTCCGCGGATTGCTGACATCCGCCCGGTCATCCTCTACCCGCCGATCCCAGCAAACAACTTTGAGATCAAGCCATGCTGGATTCAGCTCATCACATCTTCTATCCAGTTCCATGGCTTGAACAAATGAGGAGGCCAGGGTGCATCTTTCCCGTTTTCTGCAGCTGACGAACGGGTTCAAGCTGAATGGTGTCCCCGATGATGCGATCCGCCTTCATCTCTTCCCCCATTCTCTGGCGGGGAATGCTAAGAGGTGGTTGGAGACCCAGCCCCCATTATCCATCACCTCTTGGGACGATCTGGCTGACAAGTTCGTGCACCGGTACTATCCGGCATCGAAGACTACAGAGATTCAGCGGGAGATCACTCACTTCCGCCAAGAGCCAGATGAGTCCCTTCGTGATGCTTGGGAGCGGTACATGGGCTATTTCTGGCAGTGCCCCCATCATGACTTCAGTGATGCATTCACAGTGGGGAACTTCTACAGTGCCCTTTCTCCAGACAGCCAGAGGGTGATTGAGTCTCTATGCCCAGGAGGGGATATTCTTACCAAGACTCCACCCGAGCTGAACCAGATGATCAGTACTTTGGCTGCCAGAGATCATTCTTGGGGACAGGGTAGCCGAGGCAGACATTCCCGAGACCGTGGTGTGCACGCCATGGAGACCAGATCCGGGCTCGAGCAGCAGGTAGCTGAGCTGGTGCAGACACTGAAGCAGCCCAACAGTCTGATTCCGGGCAGAGGTTTGGCTACACCTCCAGTAGCTCAATGTCAGTGGTGTGAGAGCTCCAATCACCTAGTGGAGGACTGCCAGGCTATGAGGGAGTCTACCACACCCCAGGAGTAGTTGGCCTTCATCGCCAATGCGAGGCGCCTCGATCCGTACAGTAGCACATATAATGAGGGGTGGCGCCAGCATCCCAACTTCGCCTGGAGCAGCAACACCACTAAATTACCTGGTTTCCCAGCACCAGCAGGTGGTTTTCAGCAGAGGCAGCCCTTCCAGGCTCGCCAGGGGCCAGACCCACAGCAGCCCTACCAGCCCAGGCAGGGGCAGCCATTCCAGCAGCCCCAGCGCCAGTTCGCCGAGCCAGCAGCAGCTCCGACCCCAGATGACAGGATGACGAAGCTGGAAAACATTCTAGCTTCATTCATGACTAGCACCCAGGCTGCTATCACATCACTGGAGGCAGGTCAGCGGAACCAGGGTGCTATTTTGCAGGATCTGCAGACCCAGGTGGGCATCTTGGCCCGCCAGAACACTACCAGGGCACCGGGGACTCTGCCTGCCACCACTGTTCCTAATCCTCGAGATCCTCACCAGCATCAGCAGCTGGATGCCATTTTTACCAGGAGCGGTAAGGTCATATCTGCTGATCCTGTCCCGGCCAGACAGGAGGAACCACTACCTGCTTTAGCACTTCCAGCCGACGATGCAGAAGTGTGGGTGGAGAAGGAAGCCCCTGCTCCCAAGACACAACCAGTGGTTAAGGAGCATGTACCCCAGCTTCCCTTCCCCACTCGCCTACACAAGGACAAACTGGAGACTGAGTTTGCCAAGTTCATGGCAATGTTGAAGCAGCTCAACATCAGCATACCGTTCATGGAGGCACTGTCGAAGATGCCCAAGTATGCCAAGTTCATGAAAGATATCTGCACCAACAAGAAGAAACTTGGGGATCTCTCGACAGTGATGCTGAGCGAGGAGTGTTCTACTATCCTGCAGAACAAGCTGCCCGAGAAGCGCAAGGATCCAAGGAGTTTTACTATCCCTCTTACTATTGGCAGCATGCATGTAGGCAAGTCCTTGGCGGACCTAGGCGCTAGCATTAACGTCATGCCATATAAGTTGTATAAAATGCTAGACCTAGGTGAACTTAGCCCTACTAGGATGAGCATTCAATTAGCTGATCGTTCTATTGTGCATCCTAGGGGAATCATAGAGGATCTGCTTGTTGGTGTTGGTGCATTCACATATCCTGTTGATTTTGTTATTCTTGATATACATGCGGATGTGGATGTGCCTTTGATTCTAGGTAGGCCATTTCTTGCCACCGCCAAGGCACTTATTGATGTGCATGATGGAAAACTGATCTTGCGTGCTGGGAATGAACATGCTACTTTTTCTGTGACTGAGTTTGATCACTGTGCTATGATTGCTGTCACGC